TTCAAGGTTCAAATCTCCCAAACGGCCCAGCTGCATGGCCTTTCGTAGTTTGCCCCTTGTGTAATGTGTATATGAGCTAGTTTCCCTTAGAAAAGCCTCCACGAAGGTATCCCTTCCTCTAGGAAGATAGCCCTCGAAGCTTTGCTGTAATCACATAAACCGAATCTATTTGGGCTTTCTTTTTTTTCCGTGGCGTCTATACGTACAGACAGCATAAATGCCTCTTTTTTCCAAAAAGTATTGTAAAATGGATTCAAAAGGGATTTTTTGTTGACATTTGTATGTTCGCATCTATGCACATATATGTGTATGTATGCATCGCATAGCTCAAAAACGATTAGCTGTAGAGCGGTGAAATTTTGTACATGGTACTGCTATAATATTTGTGTACTTCTCTTTTTTATTGCAATTGCCAGTGTACATTAACATTATATTCACCCCCCCCCTTACCAACCTTTATTTTTGAAATCGTTTGTCGTAGTCATATCTTCTTTTACAGAAGTGTTTTAAATGAGAAAAAATGTTTTGGCTATGTCAAATTTTAAAAAACATAATGTTGGACAAATAACAACATTTAACTTTTCATTTGGTCTCCCGGTTCATCTACTTATATTTGGGAAAGTTTTATACTCGTTATGAAAAAATTAATTAGAAGAAGTTTAAATCCCGTACGACAAAAACTGACAGGGATATTTAATTCAAAATTTGAAATTTTTGATGTCATTTTCAACTTGCCTTTAAGGATTGGTTAATTAAGTTAAACATCATTCAAGGAAATAACTTTAAATGAAGTGCAGCAAAAAATGTGTATAATTTAATAGGCGGTACAAGGAAGTCATGACTGTCCATATCAGATTTTTAACTATTAATCCTGATTTAATGAAAATCATTATCAAACCTGGACTTTTTTGGGGGGCATAGTACCGTAAATTTATTAGGAGGGCAAGGAATGTTTTTGCATAGAGGCCCTAGAGTTCTAGTTACACCACTTGATTGGTATGTTTCTTTAATAGCAGTTTCATTTAATGAGATTTATAAATTCAAAGCAATGAGCATTATAATATAAAAATAAACTCATCAGCAATACTAAACTTCTCAATATGGAATTTTTTTTTCTTCCACTCATGTGACTAAATGTCACTGTATCTGATTGAGCATTATCAGCTGGATTTTGCATCAGTTGATGTAAATTGTAAGAGATTAAGATTTCATAAAATATTTCTTTCCTGCAAGTGAAGTTTCATTTTTATTTCCTACAAGTGAAATTCGAAGGTGAATGTGACAGACAGTCAACTAATTGAAATTTAGATTTAATACTTCTGGTGTTATGAAAATTAAGAGAAAATGTGCCTTAAGTATTTTGTAGTATAGTGACAAGTTAATGCGTGCCCAATTTCTTAAAATCCGTCTTCTGTTTTGCTGAAGATGAGGCATACATTCATAAATTTTTTTCTGATGTTATTTGATTGTTATTACTTAAAAGGGGAAAAGTACTGGATCTGATGGTAAATATACTACAGCACTAAAAGCTTTCAGAAATGTGTACTAGATCTAGAACAAAGATATTAGAAGTGATTCTCTGGTCCTTTACTCTTAATAATCTTACTATGCAAGATGTTTCAAAGGGGACTTCTTTTATCAAACCAGCTCAAATTAAAATATACTCTAATAAGAAATTAGAAGTAATAAAACTCTGAGGAAAAACTCAAATGCATATGATCAAAGATGACATGTTTATTCTGTATCTTTTTTAATTCTAAAACATAACAAAAAGCTGTCTTAAGAGATACATCACTGTTGCACATAAAAAATAACATGAAAAATAATTATTGTGCATTGAATATACAAGTGTCATGCTTAACAACACTTCTAAGATACATAACACATTAATATTTATCACATGGACTATTTGCAGTTATTATTTAAAAAAATTTCATAATAAAGTTTGCAAGAAAGTTGTATGCCCGTAGTTTTTATATTGTAAAGTCATGGTTAAGAGGAAACATAAATAATGTAAAATAATTATCAAGAATAACTTCACAATATTATTATTTATGGTTAAACATTGTTTGGTTTACTCCCTTTAAACTGTTTCAGTGTTACAGTATAAAAACTTATAAAGTTAGGTTGTTCATTGAAAAAATATAAATGAAATAAAGCCGTAGGAGTTATTCAGCAATGTCACTAGATGACGGATGGACAAAAGGCAAATGCAGCTGTTCTAATTACTTAATCCAACCCATTATCAAATCCTCAACACAATTCACATCTCCTTCTTGTTGATTTTGTATGCAGACTACCAAAATTAGCAGTACAAGTATGCACCTATAATTACAGTGGATATGCTCATATAAACACATGATTATACTAGCAATCAGCCTAAGCACAGACCGCCAGATATGTTAGAACGCATGTTCATTTGCTGAAAAATACGCCGAAGAGCCATTACATTATGACCTGCCCGTTAATAATATGTAGGACCACCTTTAGCCCTCCAAACTGTACCTAGCATGGCATTGACTCTACTGGTTGCTGATATGCAGTCTGAGATATCTGGTACCAAGTCCTCACCAACTGATCCTGCAATTCCTGCATGTGAGGGCAGCACGAATTTGGTTTTCCTGGTGAACCACAAATGCTGTATTGAATTAATATCATGGAATTTGGAAGCCAAAACATGACTTGAAAGTCACTGGAATGTTCCTCGAACCACTCCTTGATGATACAACCCTTATTGACATGGTGCATTATCTTGTTGTTAACACCTTCCCCCCGGAAATACTGTTGTCATGAATGGGTGAACCTGGTCTGCAATAATGTTCACATAGTGCAGACATCAGGAATTGTTCTATGGGGATTATGGACCCTAATGTGATCCGTGAAAAAATTGCCCACACACCATAATACCACCACCACAGGCCCATCTCCATCCAGTTGTGCATCCGAGAGTCAGAGTTTCATTTGGAAATTGCCATATTAGCACATGCCTATCGATGTGATGGACCAGAAAATGTGATTCGTCGAACCATGCAACTTTCTTCCATTCTTCTAATGTCCAATTCCAATGTTTCTTGGCCAGACGCAGCTGGCAATGACTTGCCATCAGTGCAGAGACATGCTTTGGCCTCCGGCTGCATAGGCCCACACGCAGCAATGTACGCTGCACAGAGTGTTGAGAAACACTGTCTAGGTCATCACTGTTGTAGCTGGTGGTGATTTCGGCTGTTGTAGCTCATCGGTTATGGCGAACAATGGGTAGCAATCTCTGCTCTCCTCTGGAATCAATGCACCATTGATGACACACTGCTGGCCTGCAACTTGTCGTTTCACCATCCATAGGCCACTTTCGATATATGCTCACAACAACTGCACGGGAACAGCCCATTAAACACGCTGTTTCTGATATTGATGTTCTCGCAGTTGCTGAGCCATAATGATTAAACCTTCATCGAAGTCTAATAAATCAGCTGCTTTTCGCATTATGTTGCTTATCGCACTGTGTTTGGAAAGACATTGTTTAGCTGCTTTATATACTACTTCAGCATCAACCGAGCACGCACAGTGCTTTTGTTCCTTGATGACCCCATTGTTATAGATGGAGGGTTGTCATAATGTAATGGCTGTTCTGTGTATAGTTCTATCATTTCTAGCAACTTTAGTTTAGAAATTTAATAATGAAATATGAACATTGTTGAGATAAAAATTGATCAGAAAAAAAGCGTAGAAAAAGCATTAGAGCAAAAGCATTTTCCTCCCTAACTTTTATTTGGAAGTGAAAGTGCATACATGTTAATTACTGATGAGTAATAGGAACAGATCCAATTTTTTATGTATTTGTAATTTTTTTAAATTACCATTTTTTAAATTTTAATTGTTTAGCCCAAAGGCCAGACTAAAAGTCTCAAAACAGCATTTTGCATTGTTTCACTGTACTATGTTGGTTCACTTTTCAAACTGTTGCCACCAAATATTTTAAGAAACTAAATGATGAAGAATCTGCATGAACGTTTCTCGCATTGTGAAAAAACAGCAGTACCTACAGCCATCGAATTTTGAATAACGTAGTCCTCCAACTAAAGATGGGCACTTGGAAGCCTGAATTTAGAATTTGTTTTATTATCCATTTCAGATTTTGTAAAACTTTAACAAGTTTTTGATTAACAAACTCAATGATTTCAAAGCAAGCAATGGCAACACTATGGAAAAAAATATTTCTATCTCCAGTGCACAAGACTGTGTATGGGAAATTCTAAAGATATGCTGTTTTTAAATATTTTGTGATATTGCTGTTGAATTGAATTTTATGTGGTATAAGTGCAAAGAACATGATATGTAACAAATAAGGGTAACACGTAAAATGTTAAAGAAAACGCCATTTTGGGCATAATATAAAATATGAAGACCTTCAGATTTTTTATTTCCCTCCCATCATTATCTCCAGCAAACAGTAGGAGTACACCAATAGATTGTTAGTACCCTGCCAGCATGATATGCTAAAAAAGACTTTTGGCTGATGTTTGAAAGTATTTGCCCACACTTGCACAATATTTTACTTGGCTGATATCAAGATAAGTGTGATTGATGCTCATCCAGTGATGAAGGGCTAGACTGAGTATCTAGGGATGAAGGATGGATCTGTTAATAATTAGAGATATTATGCGTTGCATCCGACTTTTTCAGTTAGAATATATTAATAAAAAGTTAACCCTTGAAAAAATCACCATTAATTCTGCTTAACTTCTCAATCAGAGTATTGAGGAGTTCAAGAAAACAACTGAATTTAATCGTGGAGACCTCGGTAAAACCATTTATGCTAAGTGATATCATTGTTTTGTGGCAGCATAAATTAAAACTTCTTTTTTAATTGTTAATATCGTTAATATATATATTTATTCATTTTGGCATACTTTTTAAATTGACATAAATGTGAATCGTGGTAAAATGGGGGTTTGCGTAATCTTGCTGTTGTATGTGTTTTACATATACATTATGTTTTGCAGCTATGCAGGTCCTCTGAAGAGTGATTCTGCAGTTAAAGAGGCAATTAACGCTGGACCGAAGTCTAAAGAATTTACAGAACTTATTGAATGGTTTTCAGAAGAGTTACAAAGTGCTTGTGGACTAGATTCATATGTGAATGCAATTACAGGTTTTTTTTTTTTTTTTTTTTGCCTTTATGACTATTAAATAATTATTCATCTTAAAATAGATGGAAGTGGACTACTCACATAAATTGTTGGTGATATTATAATTATTTAGTTTAGATTTTAACCATAGGTATTATTTAGTTTAGGTTATATATATTTTAAAACTGATTAAAATTTGCTTAGATCATCATGTATGATACTTACATATAAGCCAGGAATTTCTTTTTGCATGACATTCAGTGTAGTGATAATTTGCCAATAAATATATGCATTTCTGTTGCAACCATGCCCTCAGTCTGAGACCCCCCTCCAGCTTTTCCATTTTTTAATGAATTCATTTGAGCCAAAATCAGAAATGCATGGCAAAGAATTCTTAAATATGTTAAATGGATAAGCAATTGGTATGAGAATATAAACAGGAGATAGAACTGCGTGTAGTCTTTGTTTGGCATTATTGCTCAGAAGCAACATATGTTTTCTAAGGTTCTTACAGAGAAATCTGCATCTCCAAATGTTGCAGAATTTAGTAAAGTTGCATTACTCTCTGTTTTTAAGTATCTGAGAACTTGAAAATGCTATCCATGTATCCAGCTTATTCAGTGTGTACACTCAAAATATTTCTCCAATAACTTTCCACCATCTCCCAATTAAAAGGTTACAATATTGTACTTTTAATTAGTATAAAATAGAATTGAAACATCTAGAACTGCTAAATTGTTTAATTGAATGATATTTACCACTTAAAGCTCAAAGTAAATTTTAAAAAATTTGGTACTTTTTGATTATTAGCATGCCAACTCATTGCAGATTTTATGAATTATCAGAAAATGCTTGTTTATATAATTTTAGGGTTTCACATGTACTGCCCATAAAATAATAATAAAAAGAAATACTTTAAAAAAAAAGAATTTTTTATGAAGAAAACAAAAATCTGTAATTCAGATATTAAAGTTCTGGTGAATGCTGCTGAGCAAAATAACACTTAAATATAAAGCATGCAAATGGGTGTATACCAAGCACATCTGTATGCATAGGTTGACTTTTGTCACAAGTCTGCTTGAAAATATACCAAAAATGTGGTAAATCTATAGTTTGTTGAAAGCAAGGGCATAAATAATTGAAAAGTAAGTTGAGTAATGTTTCTCAAATTCTTATTTATAAACTTATGTGTTTTATAAAATATTAGTCTATATTATAGCAGTTTTGAAACTTCTTTGTTGAGATAAAAATAAGTTTTGTGTGCATTTAATAATATTATATGTATTATTTATTACATGAAAGGCTTTATTTAATGTTTTGTGTTAATATGAACATTATCTTTTCATTTGTACTTAATATTTGTAATTTGTCTTTTCCCTGAAAATAAAATATTTTTATCTTATAGATCCCGAAGATGTAAGTTCATTCCTAATGGAAGTTAGTTCCCTTTTAAAAGAGCTACGTAAGTGTATATTATTGCTTTTATTATTATTTTGGACGTGAAAGCATTTTTAAACTGTAATTAGTGTAAAATAGAAATTAACTTCTGTAATGTATTTTTTATTTAATTTGTTTCAAATATAGTAAATTTCATTTTAAATTGTGCTTATTATCTAGCATGTAAAATGTACTTTCCTTCCTGAAGTGTTTTTCAAAATGTTAAATTTTTTGCTAGATTCTATCTGTAGTCAGATAGAATTTATTTCATGATTTTGCTCTTACACATTAAGTGAAATTTGTGATAAATTTGAAAGAGATTGCTGTAACTAAAGAAGGATTTGAATGCATTCTAAATTGCGAAATGGAACTTAAGTTGCATTCATTTTCAGTTCGAGACAAAAAATACAATGTGTTAGAATCTTTTCTCAGTGTCCACAGATAGCAAGAGAAATTAAATTTTTTCCTGTTAAAACAATGCTGCGAGTTTGTGAAAGAACAAACTTTTCTTGTAGATAGCAACATTCCAATAACTGAATTTTGTGCATCTATTTTATGAGCCCAAGGCAGTTCACAGCTTCGATTTTCATGATTTTATGATGACACTTAAGAAATTTCTATATAAGTCTGCTTTCACACATCCGTTTGTTTCGGAAGAACAACTATTTGGAACAATTTTTCTGCTCTGTCACAACAGCCAATCACCACAGATCGTGCTGGGGTTAACATGTAAAGGGAAACTGGTTCTCCATTGCAAACAAGCTGATAGGTGATTGGTTGAAAACGAACAACGTAAAATTTTTTCCGAAAGGAAGGAAAAAAATCTTTCTTTCAGTAGTAAACCAGGCAGAAAAATTGGCTGAAACAGTTGTTCGTATGAAACAAAGGCATGTGTGGTGTGGACCTAACACATGCAAGAAGTTTGTGATATTTTGTCTTTAACGTTTTTCTTAAGAATGCTATAAGTAGATACACAAAATGAACTTAATTCAAAAAGGATACAGGAACTATCAAATTACACAAATTCTTGTTGCTTAAAATTATCTTTTCGTTTGGTAATTGGTGTGCTTGTATAGATAAGATAAAAAATACGTAAATCAAAATTTTAACTTTAATTTGCAGTGCTGCTTTTAAAAATTTTGTGTTTGTAAAGTTGTTGGTTTGTGAATCTGAAGCATTACATCACCAGAGAATATTATATGCTACAATCAATGCAGTATTTTCAAATGAAAGCATGAGAACGAATGTGTACGTGAGTACGTACAGTTGTCACTGTCCATAGTAGAACAAAGAATAATAAAAAATGAATAATGTTTATAGGTAAAGTTTAGCCATGAAGTTTATAAACAGATTAGATTTCATCTACAATCAACTGCACTTTAATTTGGGTATTTCCCCTTTCTGTTGTAAAAATAGTGAGTGCCTATAATAAATCTCTCTAAACTGTGTCATTTCAAAAGGAATCCATGTCATAATGTTCTTGCATAGTGCTAATGACAGAGGCATTTATATAAGGCTTCAGCTAATAATGATTTCATATTTGGGAATGAAAACTTAATAACCATTAGGAATTAAATATAGATTTATTCTGAAGATTATTATGATATTACAGATTTTTTTTGAAGAAAGCATTCATGTTAGGCCTGTTATATTCTTGCTGTCCTGCCAGCATGTGACTGCTTACCTCAGTTTCATCAATCAATGTCATAATGATGTAAAAAGGCACAAATGTGATTAAAAGTTGGCATGTGAGTTTGTGCCCATTGCAGTTTATAATTCAAGCTGAGAATGTTTTCAAGGAATTCAATTGGGCTGGATGGTAGCTATCATTTTATGCATCAACATAGTTTATGTTCCCAACAACTTGCAAATGGTTACACGTATATAAAGAACATATAATATATAGATACTTTTCCGTTTCGCCGGCACAAATCTCGCCAAGCAGACTTTATTGCCGACAACACACAGTATACACATAAAAAATATTAAGAAATTTTTATTTTGAAGGCATAAGCATTTTAATATCATTTAAAATTTTGTAAAAAGACAATAAATAAAAACAAAAAATGTGTAAAAAGATATTAATTTAAGAATTTACTATGCTTTCATGGTACGACATCCTGATTCGCCGTTTCATATCACTTGTCCCTAAATGATCTCATCTCACGTAAACTACACTACAAAAATCTAATTCTCTCAGTAATTATCTACATTAATTTTTAAGTTAAATCGTAATTTGGAATACAAGTGCAAGAATTATTTCAATTCGTAAAAACTGCAGTGCTTTACTTCACTAGTGCATTCTCATTAGAATTGATTAATTTAAACCTTGGCTTTGCCTTTTCTATATTTTCGTCTTCGGGTGAGCGGTGTGATTTCACCCTAATTACCGTGAATGGCCTTAGAGCATAAAATTAAACTATCTGGTTAAAATTGTATGTAATTGTATGCCAGTATTGAAAGAAACAATCAATCTGATAACTGGACTTGTTTTGAAAATGAGGCGTTAAAGGTTACCGGTGAGGATATTCCATCGGTTGTACCATTTTTGGCGACTTTATTGCTTGTGCCGGCAAAATGGAAAAGTACCAATATGTATATATATATATTTTATATGATCTCGTAGTGTGTATAACTCGTTTATAACAAGTCCTGATTTAATGAGGAAATCAGAAATATTTAGTTGCTACAATGTTAAATCTGTGAAAGCGTATCTCGCTTTTAATGAGCAAATCCCAGCTATAGTGAGTAATATTTTTGTAATCCATAAAATTTCTGTTGACTTCACCTCTCCAGCTCAGCAAATTCTTTATTGGAAAAATTCCCTTAACATTCCAAAGTCAACCAAAAGTTAATGATGAGTCATAAATCCCGCAAACACGTCATTGTTTCCTTTTCATCTTGTGGAATGCATGTGCGAGGACATCTCACGACGTCAGTTTGCCGATTGGACAGAAGATTATTGTGCTTAGGAATGTAAGGGTCTTTTGTAGAAGTCATTCTTTGATCTGTATTCATAGAGTACACTCGTCAAATTATACCTTGCGATGTTAAAACTTAAAATTTCATTGGTTGATGGAAAAGTAAGGATTTTATGAGAGTTAAAGATGGCGTAAAAAATTCCAAAATCTGAAAATCGCATGATCTGTCTTCTACTGTTTCAACTCTGTTAAAGAACAAGGTAAAAGTAATGGCTGTATTTGATCAAAATAAGAAAGATTATAAACATTCAAAAATGTCCTAAAGAGGAATGGATAAAACTCTTTTAAAGTGGAAGAAAATGCAACGTAGATCAGTTTACCCCTCTATAGACGACTTGAAAAATTTGGAAATGAGTATAGAAGAATTTGAAAATTATGTACCTGTCTTTTTCTTTAGATACCTGTTCCTAAGGATATTGTATCTGAAATTCAAGCTAAGAAAGTTTAAAAAAATAATGAAAATGACGATGATAAAGATGAATGTGAATAAATTCAAGCTGAACCATCCCTGACAGAGTCATGGCTTTCAAGAACCCGTTTTTTATGAGCACTCGGTTATAACAAGCAATTATTGTGATCCCTTCCACATTATAAGTGAGATCAACTGTATATATATATATACAGTACAAAGTCTGTAATCCAGACTCGTCGGGACTTCGGCGATTCTGGATTATAGATCATCAATTTAAATCTGATAAGATGGCATGCAGAAATTATACAATTAAAAATATGAAATCATAATTTATGAAATAAAGAACAATTATGATCTAAAGGGTATCAAAATTTGCAAAAAAAAAGCTTAATATTTATTTGTTTACTTTATTAAACATTTCTTTCAATGCAAGTTGTTTAAGATGCTTCCACAAAAAATTCAAAAAGTTCCTTTTTCTTGTATGGGCTTTCCAGTATAATGAACTTTCCAATGCCATACTTCTCGCATAATTTTGAGGCAGATGGGCCTTTATCTATTTTTTTGTAGCAATTCTACTTTTTGTTTAATGGACATCAAAACGGGCTTTCACTTTGTAGATCCTTTGGCAGCTCCAGAATTGGAAACTCTTTAAACACCTTTCTTTTTATTTATGACTATTTTTAATGTGCATGTTTTCCTTTTATGTGAAGAATATAAATGGGTTATTAAATTAAACTTTCTAAGAGTGGTTACAGTTAGAGGGTTCTTATCCAATGTTATTGACCAAGTGGTTAAAAATTTTCCTCTTATTAGATGAAAGAATATTCTTCCATTCCAATCGATCATGAAAGTTTTCATAATTAGTTGATTCTTTCCTTCAGTTAGTTTCAAAACTGCACATATTGTACTTAGGTTTAACTTTCTGATAAAACTGAATTGACAAATCATCATCTTTATTTTTACACATTTCAAATCATCTCTTTGGCAAACAAATTACTATTCAATCATCGTCGGATACAAAAAGTTTTTATTTAAGAGAAAAAAGTACATCATTTCAGGCAGAGAAGCATAAGCAGCGTGGAGATGTTGGCATGACGGAGTTCCTCGCGAAGCAGTATTTATACTGCATAGGTGCATATGTGAATCTAAACCGTAATTGGTTAATTTAATCTTAGTTACCTTTTTCAAGTAGTGTTATGTAATATGGAATGATCTCGAATTTGGGAGAACAGATGAATTTAGGGAGGAGAACATCAAATCTAGAACAGTCTATTTTGAGATCACTAACTATTTCTCAATATAGGCATAGTATTTTATTATATCTTATATATATATATAGTTCAGTTTCTTTTAATAAGATTTCATTTAAAAATTCATTATTACTTTTTTTAAGAGGGCAATGCATCAGGATTTCTCCATTGTGAATATTATATTTTTAGAGATTAGAATAATAAGCATATTTCCAAGCAGTCTTAAATTACACTTTTCATGCATATAAAAATGTATTATCTGTAATGTTATTAAAACTTCAAAGATTTTTTTTTATTGTTAGATGCATACTGTTTTTTTAAATATGATGTAAAATTCTACATAATTTATTAGTGTAATTTATGCCTAAATACTTTTATATAAATTATTATAAACTAAGTGTAAAAGTCTTGTTCTTGTTATTTAAGCCTCCCCCATTCTTTCTATATGTAAAAATACCACATTTTTAAATAATTTAAGAGAAAACATAACTTTAATTATTATATTGAATGTTATTAAAATAATCTTTATCTTGAAGTTCTTGAAATCTCTGATATATTCTTGGTTAAGGAAAAAAAAATTTGAATTGTTTTATTATACCTGGATTCAAATGACTATATATATATATATATATATATATATATATATATACATAAACATCATCATTGTTTCTGATGGGAAGCACACATGCTTTCTAATAATGAAAGAAATTTAAAAAAAAAAAAAAAAGAAAGCAAGAAAGAAAGAAATTCATTCTTTACTCTGAATTTATTGCATGATGCTCATACCAGCTTAAGTGCTTGTGAAGAATGCATGTTATTAGACTAAGAAAGGGAAAAGGAATTAACTGCATCAGAAATATTATTATGAAAATAGACAGCTTTGTTATAGACAGAATTTCTGGATACAGATTCAAGATATAGACAGATTCAGGATATGGAGCATTAACTGTAACATGTATAATTTATTATAAATAATCACACACTTATTTCACTTATTAATACATATTATTCATATTAAGTGAAATACATATGATATATCTGTAATAAAACTATAATATTTTCTCTAGGTGTGAACTGAATTTGTCTTCATTTTTATTTGCAGATTGCCCTTATAAGTCACTGGTAAGTGGTCCTATCAGTCAAAGGCTTCTTGATGTTCCTAGCAGAAATGTGTTGTTAGGTAAATAGTGATTAAATTATAATAAATTATAATGCTACCAAAATAAATACCAAGTTTTCTAATTTAAATATTTGTATTTAATGGTAATTACAGGATTTTCCCGTATTGTTTAAATCTGTTTTGTATGGTTGCTTTAAATAAACTTGATAACTTGTTCAGTGTTGATTTTTCTCTGATTTATGGAATTATGAGTTAAAACGCATTGCTACAGTCACAGAAAGGGGGAAATACAAACATTTATTCAGAGTTTCTTCTTTTAAAAATTAAAATTTTAAAAACTTATCATAAAATGCTGTTTTGCAGAGAAAGAACACAAAAGAATTTAGATGAGACATTTAAATTGAATATGCCTATTATTTCCTGTTTCAAATTCAGCGTATTTTTAAAAGTAAATGTCAAAATTTTTAAAATTAAGACACTTGTTCAGTGTTAAGATATCTTAGAATTATATATAATAATGAGATTTAAACTTATAAAGTTGTAAGTTCGCTAGCATTGAATATTCAAATGTTTGGAATGTGTGTAGCAAGAAATTTGCAGTTTTTTTTAATTTTATAATATATTAACTTTTTTTTTTTTTTTAGTTTGGTTTGTGAATCAATTCCCTTCAGTTTTTGGTTCTCAGCATTTCCTCATTTCATTCCAGGAACTGCATAATTCAGTTTTATTCAAAGTTCTCTGTATTTTTTGGTTGTGCTTTCTTTCAGTTACCTTAGGATCTTACTGTTTCATGTATTTTAAAGGAAATAATCTCAAAATGTGTTGTTGTTCCAAATGGCTGGACACTTGTAACTTAATACATTCATCAGAAATGGCCAATACCCTTTGATTATTTATCTGTCTCATCAGCAAGAACATTGACTGGGTGCACCATTGACAGCTACCAAATTACACTCATTAGAAAAGGAAAACATCATCTGATCTATATCTCTTTACAGGTCCGTTTGGTCCTAAAAGTCCTTGATTTTTGCCAAAATCAGCAGAAGGTCCTTAATTTTTATCATCTGAAATTTCTGTCTGTTTTTACAACTGCCATTTTGATTGTGAATTAGCATTTTAAAGGAATATTTTTGGAGATTCACTGGCAAATATGGTTAGCTTTTAAATGGGTGAATAAGTTCATGGGTTATAATTTGATCCTATTTCTACTGTAAATGGTAGGATACTTGAGTTTCTGAGCAAGCAGTGAAACATAAGCATTTTGAAATTATTTCATTATTTCTAATGAAGATAAAGGGCATTTTATCTTCATTATAGAAAGGAATTTTTTTATAATAATTACTTTATTAATAAAGAAATTCCTTTCTATAATGCCTGCCGATGTGATAAGATTAGAAGCATTTTGATATTATCCATGCTTGTGTCTAGTAAAAAGTAGGGAAAATAAAGGGGAGATAAGCATGTTAAGAAAAAGATTCTAGTATCAAAAATAAAAAATTCAAATATTATGTTTTCATTGTTCTTCCAGATGTTCTCCAAAAAGTAAAAAATTCCATTATGTATTCTGTAAAATACATCCATTACATGTATATAAATAATGGTACAAACCCATAAATATTGGTACAAACTTTAATTGCAGGTAGGGCACAAGGATTGAGAACTAACTGCATAGCAACCCATAACCACAAGTGTCATTGTACACCCCTAGGTGGTGTTATTCACAAAGACACTGGAGGAAAAAAATTTTTTTTTTCCCTTGATCAGTAGTCACCTTAAAAAGAGCATGCAATGTTATACGAACAGAGAACCACTAGCGGACATACATTTAGTGTATGGATTAACTGATGGCAATGCACGAGCAACTTATGATCGTATAGAGAACGGTTCCCATAGAAAAATGTACAGTACAACCATTTGTTATTTGAATATACACCACAATTTGTGTGAATATTCCTAGTAGCCTTAGTATGCTGAACCTGTGATATGTTTCCTTTACTGATGAGGCATAGTAACACGAGATGGTGTGTTTAACGAACACAATATACGTTAATAGGCCCGTGTGAACCCCACAGAGTGAAACCACATGATGCCTAACATCACATCTTAGTGAATATTTGGGCTGTTTTGGTCGACAGTTTCTTAGTCCAGCTTTATCTGTTGCCATCACCTGTGACATCAGCAAATTATCTCATCTTTTTTAAACAGGTTTTACTAGGCTTATTTCACCCTGTTTCTCCAAATGTAGAATGCATCGTGTGGTTTCAACATGATGGAATGCTGTGCCATTAGGTTGAGACATCTGAGTGTCTGGCTGCCATGCTCTCCGGTTTTGAGCAGCCAGGATTTCTTTCTTTGGGAAGCACTTAAAGCTGTTGTGTCTGAAATGGAGCTGGTGCAAGAGTCATCTGTGCTGCTGTAAATATCTAAGCAAATCCACATGTTTTTGACTGGGTTCAACAAACCATGGTTTGTCAGTGTAATGCATCCATAGCTTAACATTTTGAAATTACGGCAAATGTAATATTTATGAGGAATAAATACTTCTAGTAATATCTGTCCTGTGTCTCTTAATTACTTATACCTCTTACTACTTTCCCATGATGTTTCCAATCTTGGGTTGCTATACAATTCTCAATCCTTTTGTGTCTGCCCTAGCTTTCTTAGTCTGTTTTTAATAATGAAAATAACTGTTACATCTAATTGATAAAATGAAGTAAAAATGTCAAAGCTGATGTCTTTCAGTCTCTGTATCAGCTGTTGTGTCTTAAGTGCAGCTTAATTTTAAAAACCATTTATAAAAAAAAATTTCCAAGCAAGATTGAAATTTTACATTAATATAATAATTTGATATGAATTTTGGTAATTTAAATGTTTATATGTAATAATTGAAACTTCTTGTATTCACTTACACATGTTTTAGATTATATATTTTTAAAAATCATAAAACTTAGAAAAGTTATTGGTGATATTATTGTAATCAAATTAAAATCAGCATGCTCATTTGTTTGCCCTTGTATGAAATATAATTATAAAAAATCATTCCTGTGTGTAGTAGAACTATGTATACAAACTATATTCCCTTTAACATGTATATTATTATTTCTGTTTAGATTTCTTGTGTACTGAATTGCAAGCTGCTCGTTTACTGCAGTGTAAAACAAAAAAGAAGCATACTCTTGAAATTGAAATGGTAATTTTCATTCCATAATAATTATCTTAAATTTAAAAATTTATTTAGGTAAACAATATAAACATCTCTGTTATGTAAGGAAAAAGGTGCTGAAAAACCTTTATTCCAAATTGAGTTCCATTTGACACTGATGAAAACTGACATGAAAGCATTAATACTATATAAAACTGCTTATGAGTGTAATAAAGAATATGATGTCTCTTTGAATGTGACATAGGCAGCTATTTAAATATGACATGATAATTAACCCTCTGACCGTCATGACCGGATGAGATTTTTTTGTCACTTGTTATATAGTAGCTTATAATTTAAGATATTTTGCTTTCTTACTTTCATTAATAACATAAATGCAATCTTGATGAATGTAAGTTTATGAAAATAGAGACTAAAATAGGTAAATATACATATTTAGCTAATAAAGGCTTTTTAAATACAGGTCTTCATAACAGATCCGAAAACCCAGGCTGCTCAGAGGGTTAAAGTCCATAAGCTCCATCTTTCAGTTAACCCCTTCGCCCCAGGTAGCACAAACACGCGCTTATCGCGGAGGCCGGCAGTATCTTACGCGAGCGTCTGTCCAGGGCCGGGGGCTTTTTTGCTATTAAGCCTAAATCCATGAAATTTCCAAAGTATCAACGCATTGTTTAATAATGCTCTATAGAGTATATAAACGGGTTATGCTTTATAGATATTTTTATATATACTCTAATTACCTTATTTCTTGTTTAAATGCATATTTTACACATTTTATTTTCATTACTCACCATTTTATGACTTTTAACATTATACATCTGAAAACTAAATATATTACTTAAAATTCTCTTTTCATATGAAAAATTTGAAAACAGGGATCTACACACAGTCCTGTGTTACATTCCTTGCACTCGTAATAACGACATTGATGATGAGGACATTAATTAATTAAGGATTAATGATGAGGAGGACATTTCGGACATCTCGTCGGCATACAGATGTCCGAAATGTCCTCATCATCATTAGATTCACCAGATTCTTTATGATCAGAATATATCATAGTATCACTATCACTACTATCAGAATCTGTTTCAGAATCAATATCTGAAATATTTTGCATCATTTCTGCTATTTCATGCTCTGTTAAACATTTTCGACGCTTCGACATTGCAACGGTAAAAACAGAAAAATTTCACGTCTAACAAGATCTAATTATTTTCTAAAAACTGAACTGCAAACCAAAATACCCAACGCTTGAGCGAAAATAAAACTTCTCTACTTACAATAACAACTACCACGCGCGAATTTAAAGAGACGTCATTAATCGCGCCATTCGGAAACATTTATTTCCCCTTTTGTTTATATAATAAAAAACACGTGTATGTAAGTCATGCTTCTCTCATTTCGAGTAGAAGATCTAATGTCCATGTATCTGAAACCATATGGACATACAATGCCATCTTGTGGCAGAAATTATAGTTTAAAATGTTCCAGGACACTGGCACAAATACGTGACAGTCGGGGCTGAACGGGAAAATGCTCTGGCACGCCTGCGTGTCAGTCGGGAAGTGAGTCTGTTCGTTGCTGGCACGTGGACGTGACAGTCGGCGCGAAGGGGCTAAACAGTTTAGTTCTGTATAATTCAGTGTTGCTTATGTGATGACTGACATTATCATGAAGTGAAACATCAAAAACACAATCTAGAGTCACTAACCTGGTAGATCCTTGAAAGTTACTGATTTAAACATATGAAGACTAAAGCAAGTACCGTATATACCCGCGTATAAGTCGACCCCCACCCACTTCGACATAAAAAATTCATAGAAAATAAGAAACCCGCGTATAAGTCGACCCCCCACTTCCGAAATCGATCGAGAAAGTTCGAAAAATTTTTTTTAAGTACTACGTTTATTCAGAATCATCTGAGAAGAAAAGTAAATATACGATAAAAAATACCTTGGTAAATAAACAAAATCAAAATCCTTCAACGTCCGATTCATGGTCAGATTTGCCAAACATTTCATAGAACTCTTCTGTCGTCATTGGCTCGTCATCATACATATTTTCAGTCTCAAACTCTGTATTGTTACAATCACTACTAGAGCCTTCGTCGTCATTTTCACTTTCAAAAACAGCGTCATCTTCCGTGCCGTCTAGTTCGTTGCTAATACAACATTTTTTAGATGATTTTATAATCATTTCAGAGGGTATTTCGTTCCAAGCATCTTTAACCCACTGAGCAATTAATGTAATATCGGGCTTTTTATTGTTCGGGGGCCGAAAATTCTTTGGTTTAATAGAAACTTACTCTAGTTAAAGTATGAAACTCTGTGATTAGTTCATCACATAATTTAAGTCATGAAATTACTTCAAATAAGTGACTTATTTGACAAGTCATCCAATGTGAGTGCGGGAAGAAAACAATTGCATTATATAAAGAAATTTTTGAACTTCCGATTCTTTTAATTTTTTATGGCCCTGCATATAAGTCGACTCCACCCCCACTTTGAAGTCTTTTTTTTGTCCAAAATATCTCGACTTATACGCGGGTATATACAGTAGTCAAATAAAATCATGAGATAGGCTCAGCAGATATTTCAAATATCTTTCATGTAACTTCAAGTATTTCCTTTAGCATGACATTTTTCTAGGAGGGAAATTACATGGCATATTTTGGAATGGTGTCATATCATAATAGCAGTAGTAGCAGCATAATGGTTTGATGATGTTTTCTGGCTTGGACTTTGATTATTATTTGTAAACATTGCATCTTTGGAGTCTGAATTTTATTATTTTGATGTTTCAGGTCAGTGATTTTCAACCATAAATGACCTCTTCTGCTTGATGATTAGCTTTATGCTTCCCTATGTTAGAAAAGTATAATAAAAAATACGAAATTAATTTAATTTAGAAGTACAGTACCACTTATTCCAAGTTGAACAAGAAGTACTTATTCCAACTTAGAATGGAATAGGTTTGCTTTTCGTAAGTGTATCAAATTTTAAAAAGCTCAAGTTAAAGTTGATGTGCCATAAAAATATGTCTGTGGCTTCCCAAAATATAATTTTGTTTGTGTAACCTCCCCAGCAGTGTTGTGTGGGCCCTTAGGATACTGTAGAAAATATAATTAATGGATTCATATTCCGATATTCAATACCGCAAGCAAAGGGTCGGCTTAGGAGATACACCATTCTCACACATATCTTGATTATTAAAGTATAATCAAGATATGTGTGAGAATGGTGTATCTCCTAAGCTGACCCTTTGCTTGCTGTATTGAATATCGGAATCTGTTTCATGTTGAGAAGTTGAGCTTCCTGCAGCTAATTTGTAAGATAGCTGGTAATTTGGCCTTGGTTCAAATGTTTGTGAATGGGCTAGCTGCACGGGAGTTTTTATGATTTTTCCCTAGCGTAATGTCAACATGAGCCAGTTTCATTTAGAAAATCCTCCATGAAGACATTCCTTCTTTTAGGCAGATAGTCATTATGTGCTTTGCCGTAATCTAAATAACTGAAACTCATATTGAGAATTCAGTTTCAGGCAATAACATTCTTCTTTTACTGAGGCAATAGTTAGAATATCCTTTGCTTGTTTTAGTGGGTCACTATGCATTCTTCGTGAAGTGAGATTTCTAATTTTAGCACTCCACTCTGAGGTAATTATGCCAATTAATTGTGTGACACTAATGTGAATATTTGTGTCTGAACTTGTCTGAGTCAGTGTGTTTAAACTTCAGGCTGACATAGGCAACTATTAATTAATTAATGGAGAGGAAAACAGTTATCTAGATGTGCATTGTGATGTAAAATAGGCATCCAAAATTTTAATCTTCTGATTAACATCTAATTTTACATGAATGTTTGGAAAATATATTGCTGAGTGCTTCGAACTGTTAAATATCACGTTTGGTGAAAATGCCATGATAAAATCAATTGTGTTAAAGAGACATAAAAGAAGGTGGGGAAACAGATGTGAAAGAGTCAAAAACAAAAATTGAAGAATATTAATAGTATGGAGTGTGAGAATTGATATGGTGTAAAAACTATTAAATGTGATATTGTTATCAGAAGAATTATAAATTATATGAAAAAAAGTAGACTGATTTTAACTGAAAAATTACACAAGCGAAAGATTTCTATGAAATGTTTGGCTCATACATGCAATTACAGTATACTGCTTGTGTGAAATTTCTGACCAGAAAACAATTACAGTCAAAAGTCTTTAATCCAGACGTCCATAATCCGGAATGATCTATAATCCGAACCTCAAAGCTACAAACTTTCTGGCGTCGCATAAACCTTTATGCATGCTCGTTTAATGTATAACGGATGGTATAAGCTAAGCTAAAATTATCTATTTCAGTTAATGTTGCAGATTGCGTTGTTCCTTAATCTTCGAATTGGATCTGGCTTATTATTTTTTGCAGACTGTTAGAGCAATTTTATAAAAGTAAGCTTGAACTTTCGATTATGTCAAATAGAATTTCCGATTCTGGAGCTGCCAAAGGATCTACAAAGCGAAAGCATGTTTCGATGTCCATCAAACAAAAAGTGGAATTGCTGCAAAAAATGGATAAAGGCATATCCTTTGTTTCTCTAACCATTCCGAAATCTGTTTATCAATTTCATGCTGCTCTGCGGGGGGGGGAACGTCGCGGCGCGCAATGAACTGGAAGTTGATCTGTCAGCACTATCCTTATCTTCAGGGCAGATGTTTTTATTTTATTCGGCTTATAATTCCTTACTAAATGTAGTATTTCATCTCGATGTACTCCGTCTTTGATATGATTTAAATCAAATTCCTCACCATTATAAATATCATGAATACATATCAAATAGTTTTCTGGTTGCAATTTTCTAATTTAGTGCTTTACGCATGCACGCATTGAAAGAAATGTTTAATAAAGTAAACAAATAACTATTAAGCTTTTTTTTTTTTTGTAAATTTTGATACCCTTTAGATTATAATTGCTCTTTATTTCATAAATTACGGTTTCATATTTTTAATTTTATAATTTTTGCATGCCATCTTACCAGATTTAAATTGATGATCCATAATCCGGAAAAACCTATAATCCGGAATCGTCAAAGTCCCGACGAGTCCGGATTAAAGACTTTTGTCTAGTTAGATCACCCTACCTCTTTAATTGACTTAATTCCCTATGATTTCTGGCTATTTCCAAAATTAAATGCTGCTGTGAAAGATTGAAATTTTTCTAAAATAATTGACTTCCAACAAATGCTTCACAACTCAATAATATTCTGAAAAAAGGTTTTCTAGTCCTTCTTTCCTAAGAATGCAATCTAAATCAGTTCATAACTGCATAAGAGGAGTACTTTTTAGATGAAAGTGTCCACTAGTCTGAAGCTATATGGATATATATTTTTAAATGTATATAATTACCAGGAATTGATTAATCACACTCTGTAATATGCTAAATTTTACATATTGATGTATTTTTAGAGTTATATCTGTTACAATTTTTACAAAGAAATATCTAAAAAATATTCAGTTTTTATTATAAACTTGATTATTTAAAATACTTATGTTATTGGGTGCCATAACTCAGCATCTGGTTCATCCCACAGTGCCAGTTCTGCTTGAATCTAAATTGAACATGAATTCTTAATTTGCAGCTTGGCTTAGGTACAAGATCTTTGTACTGAAGTGTAAAAGTTGCTCTGATTTTAATGATGCAAATTTTATTAAATACTTTGCCATTTAAATTATGTCATATTAAGTTTTATAAATACTAAGTCTTTTGGAAGGTTATATATTTCATCTGGAAAAAAAAATTGTGATAGAAAACTTGTTTGACAGAAGAAGTGGAACTCCTGTGAAAGTAATAGTAGATTTTATAATTTTTTTCTGTATTAGTTCTGCCTTTTTTCACTATTTGTAGGATGATAGTACTACTGCCACATCACTCATGAAAGTTATGGAAATTCTTGGTATTCCTAAAGAGCTTGCTGAAAATCCTGATTCTGTGTTACCTGAAATAGAAAAGAAGGTAAGCTGTTTTGTGTATTAGGTTTTACATGCAAATGTTCACTTTTTGTTCAGAATTCTTCAATTTTGTTATTCATGAGTATACTTTCATTATTTCTACATTTACGTTATTAAAATTAGGGGATATTTTTGTTTGAAGTGAAATAAATATTCAATGATGTCATTCATAGTGTATTCACATGAACTTCAGTTTTTCCTCATATGCAAGAAAATTGTTTTGAATCGATGGTCCAAAAAAAGCTTTAAAATATTGATTACTTACTGGTTACTCAAGTCAATTTTCATGGCTACGATTTTTTTTTTGGGGGGGAAGAAGGAGGCTAAGAAAATAAATATAAAAAGTAGGCTCCCAAGATGAACAATAAACAGTAAACTTGCTCATAAAACTTCATAATGGAAACATTTGTACAGATTTTTGCTTTAGGAATGATATTAAACTTTTGAAAGACATCTATCACTTCTGGCACTGTCCATGTTAAATTCAGTTAAGTATACTTGTTTGACATTATTGCAAAGAAAAAGTAGGTACCAGTATTGATGTGCTGGAAGATCAAAAGAAAAAATGCAAATTGATTGTAATAATTATGAATGTCTTTTTGAAAACTAAGAAAAGAAAAAAAAAAAAAAAAAAAAACTAGAGGTAAAATAATCATTAGATGTCACCTAGAAAGTGTGTCTCATAATAAGTGCCAAGAATTGATACATAAGTAAAGCCCAAATGGACCTTAGCCCAGAAGGGCTGTTAACCTCGAAATGGCATTTTGTGTCAAATCACTGTAAACAGCTGTGTCACTTTTTTAATTGTTGCCACCAAAAATTATTTCTATTTAAAGAAACTAAATAATGAAGAATCTACATGAATGTATGTAGGTATGTTTCTTGCATGGTGAAAAAACAAGGGTAACTAGAGTCAGCAAAGTTTGAATAACATAGTCCTCCACACGAATATGAGCACCAGGAAGCCCGAATTTGGAATTTCGAATTTGCTTTATTGTCTGTTTAATAGTTTGTAAAAATTTAATGAATTTTTGATTAAAAACTTTTACAATTTTAAAGCGAGCAATGACAGCACTATAGGAAATAAAATATTTGTATCTCCAGTGCATGAGACTGTTTATATGAAATTCTAAAGGTATGCTGTTTTAAATATTTTTAGCCCAGTGTGCCATCAGACCAAATGCTCTCAAAATGTGTATGTGTCTGTAAATGAAAAAAATGCCTGTTTAGGCATAACATAAAGTCTGAAACCTTTTAACTGGTGCTAAAAATGGAGACCCTAGCAATATATACAGCTTCATGAGAAGAATAATTTTCTAATTAACTTCAAAATAAATACAAAAGTTTTCTTAAGTAAAAAAAAGTACAAAATCAATTTTACCATAGTAATTTCAAATTATATAGGATGCATAATTTGTGATTTAATTCAGCATTTTATCATGCAATCAATGCCACATGAATTAAATTGAATAGAAATCTAAGTATTGCAGATAATGCAGCACTAATGTTTATTTTGCCATTTCTCAAATCATGTAATTAGTACAGATTTTGTTTTTCTAAAATGTAAAAGAAGAAAGAGATAAAATAAAAACATGTAACAAAAAAGTAACTGAAATTCTTAGATTTAAAATAATTGGATCATGTTCATTCCTTAGACATTATTGCTTAGACAATTATTGACATTGTTATTTTAGTTCTAATTAAGACCTTACAATTTAAAGGGGTATGGTATCAAATAAATTACATTGCATTTTAATGTGCCTTTTGTGGAGAAAAAGAAAAACTTGTATGTCTCTTACTGTTTCTTCCAGGTATACTGTTATAATATGTTTTCTCTAGATTCACTCACGAAAGGTTAGATAAGGCTGTTTGAATATGGCAAAGCTCTCAAAGACTATCCATATTCAAATAACCTTATCTAACCTAAGAGGTTGGATGTCTTCTTAGAGGAATTTCTAAGTAAAACTGGCTCATTACATGAAAACCAACCATGCAGCTAGCTAATTCGTTTGCCTGAATTTGAACCTGGGTCAAAAACTACTAGTACTAAGCAGTCTTAACCTCTTTAGCCACTGGTGAGGCTATGTGCATTAATAGAAAGCAGATTACTGCATGAAATAAGTTTACATTATCGTTTATCAGTGAAAGTTCCAGTGATTCAAGATTAGTCTCTTATTAGAAGTGAAATGAATTATTTTTTAAGATCAAATGTTTTTGCTCATTTTATCTGTCTTTAAACTGTTTATTGCTAGCTCTTTCAAATGATTGTTTCGGATTTCATTACAAAGATTAGTATAGCACATATGTGGGTGCTAATCATCATCTATAGTAAATTGACTATCCATAAAGCTTGGAAGATGCCAAATGCAAGATATGGGAAAACTCTGGATAGTTGAATTTATAAAAATTGAAATTGTTGGTAGACAAGCTAAGTGAATGGAAGAAATTTGAGATCTAAATTTATAAAAACAGACACTATATTTATTTTCAAAAGCCTACCTATGTAAAATTTAAATATATATATATATTTATATAAAAAAATTGGTGTATTTTTGTAGGGTTGAAACATATAAAACTAAAACATCTTAACCAATTATAAAAATTCTGTCAACCATGAAAGTTGATGCTAGATTTTGCCAAGCTTTTACCGACCATGCCAGCAAAAGCTTGAAGGAGCAGATTTATCTTTATTTAATTAAATAATCAACAGGTACAGTATAGTTACAGATTATAACAAATAAAAAATTTAATTACCTTTCATAGTTTTTTACATCACACCAATATTGTTTATCCATCTTCAAATAAAATCGCATGCTGTGCCATTAAATGCCATCACTTTTCTTGATGACAGGATATCACATAACTTTGAAAATACTCCTCTAGATGCTGCCCTACAGATTGCATCTCAAGTTGGAATACTTTTTTTTTTAATGCAAGGGAAGGGCAGATAAACAGCAGTTAACTTATATCTTTCTTTACAAAAACTAAATCTGCTTTTTAAGAATTAATCAGGTTTACATATAAACACAGCAAAAATCTTATGATTGTTGGTATCTCTTATTGATGTTAAACGCACCATTCGGCAACAATTTCTGTCTGTTACAAATGGTCCATTCGGAACAAAATTCTGTGAGGAATATCTTGTTCCAAGTACACATTCTTGGATTAATATGATACGTATGACAATGTGTGGGGGGTAACAGTATCTACTCATGGCAACATCTAAACGATCAATGGTTCTCAACATTTTCTGCCCATGCCCATTCACCACTGCCAAGAAGATCGTCTCCCCCGCTTTTTGTGAAATAAGGCTCATATATACACTTATTTAGTTTTAAAGTATGTTAGCTAAATAAAAGGCTGACCACATCCCCCTCTTGAAGTTATGGAATTTCTGAAATTCTCAAATGGAGAGGAATTAAGACTAAATACTTAGCAGCTAAATAAAAGTCTGACTACATCCTGATTTCCTCCCAGTTGAGAACCCTTGTTCTAGATGTTGTACATGGATTCTCAGTGGTAGTCTTATACATGTTTTTGATGCTTTTATAAGTCTTGTTTGCAAAATTTTTTTGTTTAAAAAAATTCTAAAATTTACCAGCTATTTGAATTTTTGAGTTAGTTGAATGTCGAATAGTCAAGCTTTTATTGTATTATATGAATTTGTATTATATGCCAAATTAAAACTGTGTTTTGTAATTAATTTTGAAACAATATGTGTTCATTAGATAACAAAACTAATGTTGCATTTTCTTGTTAGCATATGTTTATTCAGATCTTATGTATGACTTTTCTTTTTTGCATTTTCCCTTTTCATTATGCTGCATTAAATATTTAAATTTATTTTTTAAATGAGAGATTATATAAGAAAGGATAATAAACATATGAAGATGAGTTTAATTTCTCTTTATACAATTTATAGCATGGCTGAAATACGATCCCTAATATTTTCGTGTTGGGCAGCTGTGTGCTGATTTCAGGCTAAGGTAACTAAATATGGATCATTGCAGGACTTGCATATGTTCTCAAGTTGCAAGAAATATCTTAAACTCTTTAACTCACAACTTAACTGTATAGTCATAAATATTTAGTTACAGATTCTTATCTATTAGTGTTGAGAGAGTATTTAACTTAACTTTGTACCCATACTTTTCTTGATTCTAGTATTTACTGTATTCCCATTAGAAACATTTTATTTTAGTTCTGCTTTTAAAATTTTTGTTTATCACTATAAAGGCCCTAAATACATATGATTAGTAATGTTACAAATGTTTGGAAATCGCTGATATGCTATTAAACTAAACTAAATGGCATAACAGCCATAATAGGATAAGGCCTGCAGTGCTAGAAATCTGATTTCTTGACTGTGGGCCCCAGGGTGCATAAAGCATATGCTCTGAACAAGTAGTCAGCTTGTCGTAGGCCCCCTAGTGTTTAGTCCCCAAGCAAACTTGGTACTCATTTTATTGACCTAAGTGATGGAAATCAAGGGATGAAAGGCTGAGTCAACCTTGCCCAGCCCAGGAAACGAACCCCAAACCTCTGGTGCTGTTGCACAATGTGCTAGCCATTGCGCCACCGGGCTTCTACTGATATGCTATTAGTGCAGTTAAAATGAAGGATTCTTATTTCTACCTTCATTTGAAACAACTATTCAGTATAGTATAGGAATACTGCTTATATTTCTTGCTGATGTTTTGCAGATTTAGTTAAAATGTCAGAATATCTTAGTTTCATACTTATGAGAGTTAGTATATTATAGTATACAATATATTTCATATTACTGCCTTTTGTAACATAGTAAGTAAGAATGCTTTATTATTACTTCATTTAAGATGATAATGTCAGTCTTAACCATAATTATATATACATTACACAATAGATCTATTTGATATAATGCTCCTTATCTACTCTCTGTGGTAAGTTTTGGAATGTGTCAGCTATAGTTGATGTAAGTGTAACATTGTCCAACACAGCATTCCAATTTCAATGTATTTTGGAGAATAATGTTTAGAATCTTTATATCTCCCATTCTACTGGGCCATTTGACGAAATTCAAATTGCGTTTTTCATGTGTCAAAAGCGTGACTTTAGAATATATATTAGATTTATATATAACAACATTCCAACATAGGTATTTTGACACAAAATTAGGCTTTTATTGAAATGATATGCCAATTTTTTTTCCATATTTCGATTCTACGACTCAAATTATGCCTAAATATTAAATTTTGTAAAATTTGTGCAAAATTTACAGAGAAATTCAAAAATTTATCTTGTCGTATTTTTTCCAGTCTTCGCTCAGAATACTTTACTTGACGAAATTCTTAATTTATAGCAACCTATTTTCCTTTTCTTTTTTTCATTGTAGACAAGCAAGGGGGAAAAAAAGTCATTGTTCATACTTTCAAATAATTTTAACAAAGTACATATTATCATTTGGCATTATTATCTTTAAAAAAAAAAAAAAAAAAGATTCCAAATTTCAAAATGCTCCAATATGTAAATTCATGTATATCTTGAAAATTTTGAATAAAAAAACTCTAATTTTTTGCAGGTGTGCCTAGAAATACATCTACTTTAAGATGATATTAAAAATTTTATAGGTTATAACGCAAAATTTTTTTCAAAAAATTTATAAAACAATATTTAAAAATACTGGGTTTAAAAATAAATCATAACAAATGTGCAAATTATATTTGGATTAAGCCTAAACTCCAAATTCTGGAAGCAAAAATAAAGTAAGTTTAATAAAAAAAAAAAGATATATCTATAAAGATATATCAAATTCAATTAACATCGAGGAGCTAAAATTTTGAGAGCTAATTTTTTAAAAACTATTCATGCGATGTTTGCAAAACGTGGCAGTTTGGCATAATTTGAGTCGTTGAATCGAAATATGGAAAAACATTGGCATTTCATTTCAGAAAACGTCCGATTTTGTGTCAAAATACCTGTATTAGAGCAACGCTATGTAGGAATCTAATGCATATCCTAAGTCTTGCTTCGGAGACATGAAAAACGCAATTTGAATTTCATCAATCTGGACAGTAGAACGAGAGACATAGAACTGTCCGTTCCCCTCTGCTGCAGTGTACTTTTTTGTGTATATAATGATTACTAACATTAATTTAGGATTCAAACCCAAATTTTTCAGCATGCTAGTAACCTCTGCTAATCTTCATATTGATCAGGCAGTTTTGTGTCTTAGGTTTTAAAAAATAATAAAAAATTATCTTATTTTTCCAACAAAAGCTTTATTTCCCTTCCTTATTTTCTTTGCTTTGAAAATAGTGGTCTTAGTGAGTTTTAAGGTAGTTACTACTTAAGATATATATTTAACTTTAGCAATCAATGAAAAAAATAGGATTAAATTGAAATGTAATTTTTCTTTAGGACAATTAAGATACAAAACTGAATATCCTTATATATCTTGAATATCTTCAAGAATCCTACTTTTCCTGAATATTTTGAGGATGTCAATTGCACTTTTATTTAAACAAACTGATAATCTTTTTTAAATAGGAAAAAAAATAAAAAAAAGCAGTAATTGGAAAATGTGGTAAGAATTGAAATATCTCCTGCAAACGCACACATACGTATATGAAATTGACTTTATTTACCGCTGTAAAAAATTAGTGATTATATTATGTTTTATGAATTACCTCCACCTAAGTATTTTTCACAAGTAGTTAAATATCATATTAGACAGTGTGAAATTAACAGACAAATAACAGAGACTTCTTTTAAATGTGTTTTATTCTAACAAAATATTGGTTTTCAGCGATGCATTATTATGTCTGTAAGTAATTTAGCATGTAATGTTTCAAATCTATCATTATGCAGGCTTCTGTTTTTTCCATTGTGCTTTATTATATTTTTTTATTATTCAAAAAATTGAATAAGAAAACTCTAGTAACGAGTAGCCATACTGAAATTTCATCATTTCTTTTATCATGTTTATTTTTATTTGCTTACAGTTATGTTATAAATTCTTATTTCATTTTCAATTCTCTTATTAGGTGAATGAAAAAGTATCAAAAAGGCCTGAACTCATATCTGAGCCTGCATTCAAAGCAAGTTTGACTGAAAAACAGTGGGCGGGGCTTGAAAACCTTTTTGAAGAATTTGAGGCTGATTATACAGTTCGACGAGAATTATTAATCACAAGGTTAGATGTAACCATCCAGTCATTTCAATGGGGTGAAGGCAGCAAGGTTGATAAAACTTTTGCTTATTATATCAAATTTAAATTTCAACATTATATCTGCAGGCTTGCCAGCTTTGCTGGTAAGGTGTGAGACTCCCGGTTTTCTGACTGCACTTCTGCCACTGAATTTCTTGTGATTTTTCTCTTATACTTAAAATTTCTCATGATTTATTATTCCAGGTTAATATTTCATTATTTTCGTTCCGGCATCTGAACTCGTTTGTCCTTTATATATATATATATATACACACACAGTACAAAGTCCGTAATCCGGACGTCCATTATCCGGAATGATCTATAATACGGACCTCAAAGCCGCAAAATTTTTTTGTGTGTGTGTGCTTCACGCATGCGCGTTTAATGCGTGCTTCCGATATGCATTCGCGTATGCGTTTACGCTCTTCCGATAGTGAAGAAAGTGATAGAGAGGTTATTGAAAACGAAAAAATTTCGATTGACAAGTTAGTCGGCATTCTTGACATAGCAATTACAGGACTTGAACAGTGGAACTTTGTAACTGAACAAGAAATTATGTCTGTTTATAGAATTAAAGAAAAAGTATTAGCAGAAAAAATGAAGCAACTTAAACAACTTGCATTGAAAGAAATGTTTAATAAAGTAAACAAATAAATATTAAGCTCTTTTTTTTTTTTTTTTTTGTAAATTTTGATACTTTTTAGATCACAATTGCTCTTTATTTCATAAATTACTGTTTCATATTTTTAATTGTATAATTTCTACATGCCATCGTACTAGATTTAAATTGATGATCTATAATCTGGAAAAACCCCTAATCCGTAATCGCCGAAGTCCCGACGAGTCCGGATTACGGACTTTGTACTGTATATATATATATATATTATATAGATCAACATTTACTACTATGCATATGGGTTTTGAAAATATATGATCTAGTCCTTCAGTGGGCATCAAGCATAGCTACAATTCATTTGATGTATTTCAGCCATTGTGCAGCAAAACAATATCAGAACAGTCCTCAGAATTTCTGGACTTGTAAATGACACAATCACATAACAACCTTCATATGTTAATCACATAACAACCTTCATATGTTAATCACATAACAACCTTCACATGTTAAAAATTGAGAAGGAATTAAAAATTAAGTTAAGAATATGCAATTTTTTGTCTTAATTATTAAAAAAAAGAATGCCAAAATTAGATCTTCAGTTGTTTTTTGCATTAAAACAGCTCCTTTCTTCCATTTTATAGATGGAAGCAATAATACTGACACAAAATTGCATCCAGCTGTTGTTACTTTTTTAATCCTGTGAATTTAGGAATTGAATATAGTTTATGCGTTCCCACTTCGGAAGGAGATTGTATAGGCCTTTTATGTAGCACAGCTAATTATTAAATCTTTGAAAGAAAATGAAGTTCCTCAAGATAACCATTTAGGTCTTTGCACAGATAATGCGCCTGCTATGGTAAGTTTGGGGATTGGTATTGCTGGCTTCTTTAAAGAAAAGAAAACTCAGATTTGCAAATTATTGGTTGTACCAGTGACCTTTTAAATTTAGCATCTGAAAAAAATACAAAATGCAGATAATAAATGTTAGAAAAATAAACATTCTTTGAATAAATATAAATAATTCGGATGAATAAATTACATTAACTGAAAAATTCACTTTTTGTCTGTGATATCTGAACACTTTCAAATTCGCAACAATCATCATAAAGATTGCTAGAGTCTGCTATACACTGCTGAAAATGTAACATGAGATTGGCAACTAAAGACGTGTTGTTCTGCTAATCTTTGTCTTCCTTTCGTAGCACACTGAAATCTGAAATCCACTCGTGTGCAGAATTAAGAGAATTTGCAAATTATGTGTGTTTTTACAAATGTGTAATTAAAGGTCTTATTTATTTCTCCAAAGAATTATACAAATATTCAGAGTTGTATATGTAACTACAGCATACTGCAGAGCTTAATGTAATGCCTAGTGGCTTCTGCAATTTGTGGAAACAATTTCAGAATGTTAGATCCATATTGAGAATACCTGAATAAGGTTGACTAGCACTTTCAGCGAAGTGACACAGGACTGCTACAGCTTCACAACTCACACTTGAGCAGTATATTGCCACTGGAAACCAAGTTTCACAATCTGTAGTTGCCAGAACACTTCATGAGATAGAACTGTATGCCAGAAGACCCACTGTTTGCATCCATTCACTGCACTATGCAAGAATGTGCATTCAGTATGGTGCAGACAACGTGCTCCTTGGACCAGACTTCAGTGGAGCAACATACTTTTTTACGGATAAGTCAAGATTCTGCATTGACACTGATTCTTGGTGTACTTGTATCTGGACAGAGCCTGGAACATGCCATCCCTCCCTCACCAGGAAAAAGGATCATTTCTGTGGTGTAACAGTTTGAGTAGGCATTATGTTGAACGGCTGCACATCCCTGCAGTGCATTTGACAAAGGCTTCCTGATTGCTGTAAGGTATAGAAAAGAGATGCTAGAGCTCTATTTTCGACTTTTCAAGGGTGCTATATGTCCTGGGTACCTGTTAATGGATGAAAATGCTTGTCGTACAGATAGGAATCTGCTGATTGTTGGTTACTTGGAAAGTGAGGATATTCACTGCAGGGATTTGCCAACCAAATCTCTTGACCTTAACCTTATAGAGCATGTCTGGGACTCTCTTAAGAAAGCAATTTCCTTTCACCATCCCTCCGACAACCATCCCTTACCTGAAAACTGTGTTGTTGCACAAGTGGGATCGACTGCTACAAGAATTTCTCAAATGCCTCCCGTCCAGTATGCTGCGCGACTTGTCTGGCTGTGAGATGCCACTTTACCTCATGTTAGACTCATTTTCAGGTCAATTTCACTAAATGGCTTTTGGGTATCCCTGCACTACGAACTTTATGAATAATTGTGTACATGTAAAATGACTTTTGAATGGTACATCTCTTTCTCTGTTAAAAATGTATATTCATACCACATTTTATTAAAATCTGTCCATAAGTCTCATAGAAATCTGACATAATGTACAAATTCTCTTAATTTTGCACACAAGTGTAGCTTAGTTATTTATTATTCCTTATGCCTATTTCCTGCACATACTTAAGGATTAGCTGAATTCTGAATAAATAAATTCCCACATATACTTAAGACTTATCCAGAGCTGGAGCAATCATAGTAGGTCCAAAATTCTGTGCCAAGCCCCTCCCTGACTTCTCAAAATTTTGCCACCCCTTAATTTTACATTGTAGAACCTTCCCAAAATTCTAAAGATTTTGCCATCCCTTAATTTTGTCGCTCAGTGCTTGTCTAAATTCTGAAAATTTTGTGATCAGCACCAGCTGTGGCACCAGTCTTGTACATATCTGAATAATAAATCAATTATTCTCAATTCAAACAGCGAAAGTAATCTTTTGGCATATGAGTGTCATTTACAAAATCTGTCTTGCATATGGAAAGAAATTTCTGTTAAATTTCACCTTGTCAAAACACCCAACACTTAGCAGCTGAGTAATGTAATCATCAGTGAGTAATCATCACAAGCATAATGCTGAAATAATTGCAAGCATAATGTTTAATATGAAAGATTACCATGCTGTTAGTTTTTTTAATGGCCAGCAGTGTATATGTGATGGCCATTAAAATTGCAACACCAGGAAAGAATGATCTGATGAACGTCAAAATCCCATGAAAGGAAGAAGTTGAGATATGCAAATGATTACGATTTCATCGTATTTAGACGACACGGAAAGGAGAAACAATATTTGCAGTAAAAGAAAAGTTGTATAGTGTATCTCTCATTCAGAAAGTGCTTTGTAAGCTTGGCGTTTGCTCAGAATATCATGTTATGCCTCAAATAAGAAGAGGAAGTGCTTACCAACAAGTAAGCTTAGAGTTTGCTCAGAATATCATGTTATGCCTCGATTAAGAAGAGGAAATGCTTACCAGCAAGTTTCGGAATTTGATAGAGGCATGATCATTGCCTGTCAAGAGTGTAGATTATCGTTCCATGATATCGCCCATTGCACTGGTCGACACGTTCCAACTGTTGTGAATACAGGCCTGCCATGATGCTTTTGCCCACTGCCAAGAGCTCATATGGCAAGTGTACCACTTCCCGACTAGTCCTCCAGATAGAGAGCATGATCTTGCGCCGCTGGAGAGAAGGTCTCGCAGTGTGAGGCACAGGGTCCCGTTGTGACAACCAATGTCTGGAATGCCTGGGTATGTCATACTAGACCCACTGTTAATCGCTGGGGAGTACTTGATCATATATGGATGAATTGCAGTGCTGAGCAAGCAGTTACGTACAGGCAGCGACACTCTGTTACTTGTTTGCTTTAGACGGTGATTGGGGTACCCAATGTATGCCTTTCCTATGTGGTGCAAATGCTTGTATGCCTTTCCTATGCTGTGCAAATGGAGTCTGATCATTTTGTCAGATACCTGGAAGAGTGCAGTAGGCTCACCACATGTTTGGCTACTGTCACTCTCAATGGCTGCTTTCAGTGCCTCATTGTCCAGCGCTTGTGGGCGACTGCTGCGTAGTGCATCACCTAAGAGACATATCCTCTGACCTGAACTTCTGGAACCATTGCCTAGTGGTTTGTTCGTTAACGGCATCATCCCCAAAAGCCTGACAAATTCGGCGACTTGATTCTGCTGCAGACAGGTCCACTTTAAAATCATATAGCAAACAATTCCGAACGAGCGCGTTTGATTCCATTTCAATCAGTCGTGTGAGTTATGTTTGAAGTACCGATGCAATGCACCTTTATACTCTTAATGTTTGGACTCCCATCCTAAGCACTTCATCACCAGGTTTGGCGACTATTTTTAATGTTGGTGTTCACTCTTCCTGTGTCATATCAGAAACGACAAGAATTTTTTTGGTTACCTTCTAGTTCCTAACTGGGGCTATTCTCTCATCATCTGTGTAGATTCAAAAGCTTTATCAGTGACTAATATGAGTCTGAAAAGGTAGGCGACATGAATCACTATGAGTTTGAATA